TAGCTCTTAAGAAAAAAAAAAAAAAAAAGATTAGGAAAGCTGAAGACTATGCTGCCTTGAAATTGTAACATTTTGGCAAAGTGAAAAGCTCTTTATTGTAAACTCCAACTCCATGGCTCAATATAGTTTTTATCCACAGTACAATATTACAAAGTAAAACACAGTATCAATAAGTTAAGATCATACTTAATCACCTAGAACTGGTTTCTATTAACCCAAAAAGCACAAAGTTTTGCCTAAACTTCGTCATCTCTAAAAAGGAAAAAATAAAATAAAATAAAATAAAAATAAAAAGGCAGATTCGACTACAATTCTTTTAACACAGTCCAAAAGAAAAGTGAAGCAGGAAGTTGGTGGATGCTAATTGGGTCTCACAGTTTGGATATTCATTAAATATTTTCAGGGTTTTTTTTAATATTCAAATTTCTTAGAAGTTCCAGAATATACATGTAAATGTACACAATACATCTTTGTATACAACTCTGTTTGCAAAAATATCTTATAGCAGATGTATAAAGATTGAGATCCATCTCTATCCCCCCCCATGAGCAACAAAAAACCCCCCCCAAAAAAACAAAACAAAACAAAAACAACCCCTTTGGAAATTAAGGATCAGGAGAAGTGTTTTCCACGGAAGAATTTACTCATCCTGGGTCTGTAGCTGCTGCCTCTTCAGCCATCCCGAGTTTCTTTGCTCCTCCACAGCCAGGACGAAGCCCCCACCGAGCCCCAGCACTGGGAAATTCAGCCTTTCCCCCCAAAAACACGGAATTCGGAAGGTCCGGCCCCGCCGGCGTCACGGCAGCTCCGGGGGCTGCGGCATCCCCGGCCCTCCTGAAGGCCCCTCTCCCAGATCCCCACGGCTCCACCTGGGAGCAGGAATTCCCAGCTGGGACCCTCCCCACTCCGGAAACTCGGGGTGAGACCCCCCCCCGGAGCAGGAGGACAGAAGTTTTCCAGAGAAAAGCTCCTTGCCTTTGGAATTCCCGGGTGTTTCCCAGCTCTCCCCGACCAGCAGAAGCACTGGAGGCAACGCCAACACACCCCCCCCTGAGCTCCAGGTGTGATTTGGGGAGGGATGGGAGCAAAGCATTCCCCGAGATTCCCACTGGGAATGCCCTGGGGAGGGTTTCTGGGGTGCTGGTCCCCCTCTCCTGACCAGGGCTGGGTCTGGGGACCAG